CAGTAAGTGTATAATAAATGATTTTACTTATGATAAATGAATTTATTTAAATTAAGAGGTACATTAGTTATTTTCATTATTTTTACCAACTTTCATTTCTGTATCGGTTAGTAGTATGATATTCTTATTGAGGTAGTGTAGCTCATTCTTTTATTAACTATTTTAGATTATGATGATCAAGATTCAGATCTCGATCTACAAGAAGGTTGCGAATAGGATGTTCAATTATTTACTTTTCATGTATTTTTTTTTCGTTGTTCTTTTAGAAGGGTCATTCCCGTAGTTCTATTGAGTATTTTTAATTATTGTGTAAGGAATGTAAACTCTAATGTTATTATTTCGCTTCCGCATTCAATTTATAATTTATTTTCTTTCTAGTTTCGGATCGTTACAAAAATAATATATTAGGACATGCATATAACTTAAAACAAATTGTTTTTATTCTAATAACAATGAGTGTTTAAATGTAAATTCGCATATATAATAAATTTATTGGGTGTTCATTTATTTCAAATACATATTATATTTTTACACAATAAAATTATAAAAATCTACAAAAAGCAACAAAGTGTATTGTATATACCAATTGACATTTAATATTAAAATTCAACAAGCAAAACTTTTTGACATTGTAGTTAAAGCAATTGTTAGAATTTCTTATAATATGTAACCAAAAAAAAAAATATTGCTAATAGTAAAAATGAAGATTTGAATGTGGGAGCTATAACAATATTAATTGAAACTAAGACAATATTTTGATCCTTTTTTTTTTTCTATATTTAGTTTTATTTTTTTTTGGGTGAGATATGATTTTCAGGTGTCATTAAATAATTTATATTTTAACAATAATTTTACATATTTTTTAAATATATAAACTATATAATAATTTATTTGAATGAATAATCTAATCATAATTACATGTATTATACCATATTATAATTTATATATTTTATGTATATTATGACTCATTTTTATTCTCAAATTACACAATAATATAATTAATATATTTAGGATTATATTTATAAAACAAAAATATCTAATTAAAATTAAAAATTAACCATCTTCTTCGAAGATTTTCACATTTCCGCTGTTTGATTTAACTGCCATTTCTATTTCATACAAATACAAATTCGAACCAAAATTATCCTCCTTTGACTTCCAAAACCTTCTACAGTTTTCCTTTGCCTCTTCTCCAAGCTTCCAAGACCCCCGCTATTTCCTTTTTCCATCCCTTAACTGTGAAGCCAAAGCACAGGCGATTAGAAAAAAAAAACCCTCAAGAAATTGCCATTTCCTTCCGACAATGGCCTCAAGAAGGTTAGCGAAGTCCGCTTTGGCAGCCATTAAAACATCCAAAGCAGCTCCAAATTTTGCTCCGCTATCTCGTGCTCCCACAATCTCCCGTTACGCTCATAGTCTAGGCAGTCCTGTTGATTCATTGTGCCAGCCTAAGATTCTCAACGGACTTTCAGGAAACAATGTCAATCCCACAAGCTCTTGTGCTAAGGCTCTCGCTCGCGGCTTTTCCTTTTCTGCTCCTCGTTATTTCTCAGCTACTAGCTCTTCCCAGGGTTCGTGCATATGTAATCTACTTGCTAATCCGCATATAGGTGTATG